TTCTCTTTAACCCTTTGGTTATTAAGGAGAAAGTTGATTAATTTCCACATATTTGTGAGTTTTTCAAATTTCTTTCTTTTATTGACTGCTAACTTCACTCCACTGTGGTGGAAGAACATATTTTGTATTATTTCTATCTCTTAAAATTCATTGAGCTTTTTATGGCCTAGAATATAATCTATGCTGCACTTGAGAAAAATGTATCCACTGCTGATATTGGGCGGAATATTCTACAGATGTCTGTTAGATCTATTGATTTATAGTATTGTTCATTCCTTGTATTTTCTTGTTGATTGTCTGCCTACTTTTCTATAAACTATAAAGTGAGATACTGAATTCTCCAACTATTACTTTTGAATTATTTCTTCATTTCCATTGGATTATGCTTCACATATTTTGATGCTTTCTTATTAGATGTATATGTTTATAATTGTTACAGCTTCCTGATGGATCAACGCTTTATAAAATATCCCTCTGCATCTTCAGTAACATTTTTTTGTTTTAAAGTCTATTTTGTAGGATGGACACTTGTGCTGTCACTGTGTGATATATCTTCTTCCATCCTTTTACTTTCAATCTATTTATATCTTTGAATCTAATGTGTGTCGCTTGTAGACAGCATATTAGGTGGATTTTTTTTATCCAGTCTGACAACCTCTGCCTTTTGATTGGATTGTTTCATTTATTCACATCTATGATATTGTTGATATAGTTGGATTATGTCTGACATTAAACTTTGTTTTCTGTCTCATGTCTTTTATTTCTCCATTCTTCCTTTCCTACTTTCTTTTACATGTGTAGCATTTTCACTTCCTTAATAATTTTTCACTGTGTTTTTGAGGGTGAATGTGGTTGCTCTAGGCCTTGCTATATACATCTTAATTTATCAAAAAAAAGTTCCAGTTTACTTATTTGTGATATGATCAAAGAATCCCTGACATTTGGACCTAACACTTTTATTTGTTTGTTTTTGTAGCAGAATGTGAAATCAGTATGTAAGCCGAAAGCACTGTCAAGAGTGCTACGGAGCTGTCCCTTAGGAGTTCTGAGACTTAAGTAAACCCAACTCAACCCCTCCACCCCTCAAATATTGAATACATTTGAATCCAACTTCTTCCTTATGATTTCCCCAGCTTCTATTTTAGTACCATCAACCTCCCTTCCCACTTTCACACCTGTCATATCATTATGGTCTCAGCCAATTTCCAAGAAAAAAAAAGAACCCAAACATCTGGTGATTTTAGAAACTACACTGAAGCCTTGGGGTATCGTGGACGAGGAAGGTCATTTCTCACTTCGCAGGACTCTGCCATCTTGTCAGGTCTTGACGTCCTCCAAAGCCTATTCCCAGTACCTCACCCTCTTTGCCATGCACAGCCCCCTGACAAGTAGACCCAGTTGCCCCCATCCTGCTGCTTGCCTTATTGGGATCCAACATTTCCCTCCCCGAATCATACCCATCATACCACATTTTCACAACTGACAAAGGAGAGAGAAATGGGAGACCATGGGTTTTTCCTAAGAGTAAAGATATAAAAGCACAAATCTGCCAGATGTTAGAGTTTGTTGGAAAAGTAAAGGAAACACACACACACACACACACACACACACACACACACACTCACATCCATTTCTATGCTATTGTATTCATGTGAGAAATGGTGTACCATGCCCCAAAGTGCCAGGACACTGTATGCGGTCACTGAGGCACATGCATTCAACACAGCATCAGGTCTGCTGTCACTCATTAGCATTTAATCGCATTCATGGAAGTCTTTCATTCTATCTGTATGGGTCTGTGTGTAATAATCTTGTGTTATAATAAACCTCAGAGAACTTCTCAGCCAGTGTCTCATAAAGCAGCCCCAGTGAAGAACGCCAACAGATCTGCAAAGCGTGCCGTTCCTTTTTGCACTTTATTTTGTGCTTAACAGAATTTGCCTACTTTGCTGCAACGAAAACATGGAATATTCTTAATAGTGCCGCTGAGGTCACTACCTATTGGGCAATATCCCAAGTTCACCTGGCACAAAGAGGAGGTACTTGTTCATTGCCACGGTGGCAAAGAAAAAAAATAAATCAAGTTTCTCAGAATGTGATGAGCAGTTTGATAAACAGCACCCCATGGGAACTCAGGATGCACCCAATTGTCCTCGCACCCTCACCCAGTTCTGCAAAGAACAGTCTCCTTTGTTTGGCTTGACCACAAAATATAAAAATCAACATTTCCTAATATCAGTGTTCAGGGCTGATAATAGTGATTATGCAACTAATAACATGCAGATTTCACCTCACATGCCTCAACTTATCTCGTAGTTTGGTTAAAATAAGAGATGTTTCAAAAACATTTTGAAAAGTACGCATTAATAAGCTCTGATCACCCCATTAAGAACCAAAAAGTCTCTTAAGCACCCAGTTTAGGAACAAATAAATGCTTTGTGTTTCTCTGCTGCATTCCAAGAATTTCTAGATTAAATCTACTTTGCTGGAGTATCATCAGCGGTTCCAAAAAAAAAGTTATTTGGCTTGAAAAGAACCAATAAAGGAAAGTATTCAGATATCAAAACCCCTGACATGGGTACATGATCCTACAGTTTACAGAGCCCCATAAGGCCCGTTCTCTCCTGTGAGTCTCTCCCAGTTCTCTATGAGGGTCACATGGCCAGGAATTAATACATCTTCATTCAGTCAGCAACAGTAACTCAGAGCCTATTGTGTGCCAGGTTCTTTATTAAAAGCTGTACATACTGGTGACCTGACACCTACAATCCCTCTCCCACAGAGCTCCTAGTCTAGCCATTGCACACACATTACACAAACACAGCCATTACACAAATCAATATATGAATGGAGGCCAGCCCATTATGAAACTTACCCCGCAGCAAAAACAAGCAACAGATAGCAAGCATTGACGCCAAGGCTCAAATCCCTAGTCTCTGTCGTCAAGATTTCTGATCTTACCTACAGGGCCACTGAACCTATCAGTGTCTCAGTTTCCTCATCTGTAAAATGGGATGGTGGTGGTACCTCCCTTATCTGGTCATGGTGAGGATTTAAAAGAGATAACACACACACACACTCAGCACGGAGGAAGCCCTCAAGAAATATTTGTACACGTCTTCTGCCCTCACCTTCCTCCTTTCCTTTCAACACTCATTTTTGGTGAGAAGATGTCCCTGCCTATGCTCTCCCTCACGTATGAGAGTATCTTCTCTCTGAACTACAATAGATCTTGCTACCTACTTCACTTCTACAAGCATTTTAAAACAAGACATTTTATTGTTTCCTTATTTTTAGGGCTATAAAAGCAATATACACTCACTGCAGGAAAATATTTGATAATATTGTTAAGCTTACAAAAAAAAAAGGAAGACAAAACTAAAGCAGTTGCCTTAAACTCAGCAATAACCACTATGGGTATGTGTATTTTATGCATAGACTTCCAGATCTTTCTCCAAGCATATTTTCATTAACATTTTTATAACCCTTTTATAATATGCTTTTCTACTCGATCATAAACATCTTTCTATTGAAATAAATACACTTTTGCATTATTTATATCACTCCATGGCATAGATGGAGGCTATCCCAAAGCCTGGGTGCATTTTCTTAATCAGCCTTGTACACTTGCATATTTGTGTGGTTTACAACCATGTTGTCATGCATATCCATCCTCATCACTGTTTTTGTTTTTTTGCATACACTGAGTATTTCCTTACTACCCCCTCATCCTTTTTTTAATATTTTTTTTATTGATTTCAGAGAGCAAGGGAGAGGGAGAGAGATAGAAACATCAATGATGGGAGAGATTCATTGATTGGCTGCCTCCTGCATGCCCCACACTGGGGATCAAGCCCGAACTTGGGCAGGCGCCCTGACCGGGAATCAAACCGTGACCTTCTGATTCATAGGTCGATGCTCAACCACTGAGCTACACCAGTTGGGCTCATCCCTTTTAACACAAAGCCTTGTCCTGATCATAAGTCCCACTAAATTGGGGTATAACTCTGTCCTGTGCTGCTTAAATTCCTCCTCGATGCCTAGAATGAGTCCTTGAACACTGAAAACGTATGTCCAGCTTACACCATAGTGTCTGTCTATCCCACAGACTTTCTCTGAGGGTCTGGAGATATGCTATTCCATATGGTAGGCACTCGCCCTGCATGTGACTATTCAAAATTTTTAATTAAATAAAAATTTGAATTCAGTTGCCCTTGTCACATTTCAGTCCCCCAGCAGCCACATGTAGCTGGTGCTGCCACCCTGGACAGTGCACATATAAACACTCCCATCATCACCGAGAGTTCTATGGGGTAGCCCTGCTCTGGAGGGATCGTGGCTGTGAATTTGCTTTAGGAGAAAAAAAGATGGCAGTGGTGACTCTTGCTCCCCCATCCCCATCCACTTCTCTTCAAGGCAGGACCCAAGTGACTTTAAAAGAGATCCTTTGTCTTCTCTGTTTGTACCTCTTTTGTGGGACTTCCCTGCCCCCAGAAAAAAGCCCACGGTCTTTGTCACACCTCGCTCATCAGCAGATCTGCTCACTCTCCCTCTCCTCCTCCTCCCCTCCTCCCCTTCTCCTCCTTCTCCTCCTCCCCCTCCTCCCCCTCTGCCTCCTCTTCCTCTTCTTCCTCCACCCACATTGGAAGACTGTCATTTTCCCTCGCAGGCTTCTGTGCTGAAACAAGTCATGACCTCTACCTAGAAGCCTCTGCCTTCCCTGCTATGCTTGGCTAAATTCCACTCATCCTTCAAGACTTAGTTTATGCTTCAGCTCCCTCCGCCAAGCCTTTCCGGACGCTTCCTGGCTGTGTTGGGTTCCCTTCCGTTGTGGCCCACAGCACTCAGCCCATATTTACTTTAAGCTAAAGCAGCTTAAGCAGTAGGCCCCTTACAGGCCTCAGGCAGCAGCTCTAGCACTGTGCGCATATGGCCATACATTTTTGTAAAATTGGCAAAAAAATAAAGTATTTTAACTAGAACCAGATAGAAAACTCTTACCTCCTTCCTTGTCAATGGCATTGCTGAGGCCACAGCATTTGCAGAATAAATTTGGGAAACGTGATTGGGCATGTGTCACTTAATCTGCAAAATAAAGAACATTTATGTCAATTAAATAAGTCAGAAACGAAAGACTCCTCATGTGAAAATACATAAAGATACCACTTTGTCATCTTCATCTATTAAACAATGAAGAAATCGTTTAAATAAAAAATTGAATATGATGTAAGAGCAATATAGAAACATGATAAAATCAAGAGAAAATTTTCAGACCTCAAGAAGTAAATTGCCAGAAGAAAAAAAATATCAGACCATAACGAAGTAGTAATTCACTACAAAAAAAAATGAAAAAAACTGAATAGAGTAATAAATAGGCTCTTGGATCATTTGATTGTTCCAATTAATGAAGGAGAGTGGATCCTACAAACACATTGGGGAAATACTTGAGTTTCTTACTGATTTAACTGGCACTGACGAAGAAAACAAAAACCTCATAATACATCACAAAATAAGACGGGGAGGACAAATTTGCTAATAATGTTATTGGTGGAAAGAGCATGGGAGGCAGAGTAATGGCTCTCCCTCCCCTAAAAGGGGCCTGCGTCCTGGTCCCTGGAACAAGTGAACATGGTGCCTGGTGCGGCCAGGAGGTCTTTGCAGATGTGAGTAAGAGCACAGATGTTGAAATGGGGAGATTTTCCTGGATTTTCGGGGGGGGGGGGGGGCAGGTAATCACATGAGTTCTTAAAAACGGAAGGACACAGAAGAATGAATCAGAGAGAAATTGACTACAGGACATGTGGGGCTTTAGAGATGGAGGGAGGGGCCACCAGCCAAGAAATGCGAGTGGCCTCTAGCAGCTGGAAAAGGCAAGGAAACAGACTCCCTCTGGAGATTCCAGAAGAGAATGCTGCCCTGCGGACACCTTGATTTTACCGCAGCAACATCAGTGTGCTTTTCTCAACATCTGCATTGATGTTCTGCCCTCGGAACTGTAAGATAATATGTCTATGTGATTCTTAAGTTGCCAAGTGCATAACTTGTCACAGCAGCATTAGAAAATTAATTAAACAGAGCCTTTAAGATTAGCCAGTGCACAGGAAGTGTCCTGAAATTGGATTGCTCAGGTATGAAGGGAACGTGCTGAGGATTTTCCAACACTTGATAACAATCCTGAAAATTCACGAGACATTATTAATGGACTTTGAAGTTGAAACTTTTCTAAGCTATCAATGGTTAAAACAAAGGACTCTGTGCCATCATATTAGAGGAAACACTAAATTATCTTTATATTCTCCTTATAGAAAATATCAGAAAACCATTGCCATGTAGAAGCAATGGAAGAATACCTACCCAGAAAATTAAGACCAATATTATAAAGGTGGCCCAGGCATCTAATTAATGAAAATGCAGTTGTCCTCCCTGTGAGATATTTGTGGGATATTTCTGTGTCTCAGGGTGGGTTCCCCAGGTGCAAACCCCAAGTCGGGAAGTGCAAGTAGTTTATTTGGGAAGGGTGTGTGCACCGGGACCAGCGCCGTAGGCACGCAACCTGCGCAGCCACTCAGGGCCTGTGTTCAGAAGGGTCCTGTGCTTGGCTTCATGCTCTGCTGTCACCGTCATGAAATTCATAATAATTTTTAAACAAGGGGCCCTTCCATTTCAATTTGCAATGGCCGCTGCAAATTAGGTAGGTAGGCTTGACCAGGAAGTACCTGCAGGCACGTGAGGAAGTGAGAGAGAAGGGAAGGCAGCTGCTAAAGGTGTGTTATTGGGTCCAGCCGGCTTGACTCTGTGGTTGAGTGTCGACCTATGAACCAGGAGGTCACACTTCTATTCCGGTCAGGGCACATGCCTGGGTTGTGGGCTCAATCCTCAGTGGACAGCATGCAAGAGGCAGCCCATGAATGATTCTCTCTCATCACTAATGTTTCTATCTCTCTCTCCTTCTCCCTTCCTCTCTGAAATCAATAAAAATATATATTTTTAAAAGGTGTGTTATTGGGCAAGTAGATGCTGTAGGCAATTGGGACTCCATCTCTCTGGGCAACTCTGGGAGTCTGTGTGGAAACTACCTTGGAGTTGTCCCTCCCAACAAAGGCTAACGCTCACAGGCTGCGTGCTACTGCATCACACACTTCTGGACCCATCCATTAAGTTATATGCTCATCAGGAGTCATCATTATGCTTTTCTCAAGCCAGTTCATGTCATCCCCCCACCGCCGGGGAAATGGGGATCTATTACTGTCCTCACATCCTGGTTGTAATGATTAATAAGTGAATTCAGGTCACACGCTGAATACACCACCTGGCCGAGCACAAGCCCTCAAAGTTAGCTAGTGTTATGGGCATGTAATTTAATTAAATAATCTGTAATCTTGCGGAATCTGAATATTAAAAAAAAGAAAATTATTGTTTTGATGAAATTGAAGTTGAATTCTTTGGGGAAATTTTGATGAAGGCCAGTTGGTTTTAAGAATCCTTTGTTGAATTAACTGCATCAATATTGGAGGAAAAACATTGTACAAAGTTAGAATTCTAAAATCAAATTGCTTCAAAGTATCCCTAAGCACCTGACCCACTTTAAAGAAACATCCATGATGCATTATAGGTGTGGCTTGTTGTGTGTGTGTGTGTGTGTGTGTGTGTGTGATTTGCAAGAAACATAAAGGTGAATGGATATATAGACTTAAGTTTTGAATCAATCAAAATAAATTAATTATACATGTATTTTTAAATCATTCCCTTCTTCAAAAATTGTTTGGATTAACTGGCTAAAGACAGGGCTTCTAATATAGATGCTCAAGCTTTTGAATGAATGAATGGTGATTTGGGAAGGGCACCATTCCCCATGAATGACGAAATGAATAGCTAAGTAAACTGCCCAGTTCTCTTAATAAACTACCTATTTTACAAGCCACACTATTAATCAAGAATAACAATTTTCACCCTTTTGCTATTTGTCTGATGGCTTGTTAGACCTTATATGTAAATAAGTGTGAGACAGCTTCCTGGGGCTTTCTCTTTCTTCACAAGTTTCTAAAGCTCTTCCTCTCTCTGCCACCGTTTTCCCACTTTCTTCACCTGCTTGGGCGGATGAAAGAATCTTAGTGAAATAAAAAGCTCAATGAGGTGAAAACACACCCCATAAAAACTCCCATTAAGGAGGTTGCTGAAGGGGCTTGCCCTCTCCTCACTTAGTTGGCCATATTTCATTCCTCCCGAGGAAACTGGACACCCTTAATCCCCCAAGAATGCAATGAGCATCAAAGAGCAAGAGGCAGGATCAGGTTGCAATCCTTTCATTCTCCAAGGAGGGCTCAGGCGGAAGGGGTGGGAAGATATTTACTAGTATAACTGCTGTTCTAGAGCCTGAGGAGCACAAAGTTAAATCACTCTGCCCTCACCTGACTTACTCAGCCTCCACCGGACGGACAAAGAGGGATTCTGTGTGAAAGGGGAAATCTGGGCAATAAAAACTAGATATCAAACCAACACAAAGATAGAAGCAGTCATCGTAAGGAAGGATAAATTCAAGTGGTGACTGCACATGAAACAATACTCAACATCATTCATATAAAGAAATGTACATTAAAATAAGGAGATACCAGTTTTCACTTATCATATCAGCCATTTTTTAATTGGATAATACTCCGTGTGGATAAATGTGTGGAAAACAGCTGTTCACAATTGAAGGCACTCTCCTTACAGGGCAATATGGCAATATCTGTTTTTTAAAAAAAACTGCACATACTATTTAATCCAGCAATTCCTAGGCTTATTGAAATTCACTGTACCAATAAACTCAATAAAAAGGAAAAAAATTTAAAAATTGCTGTGCAGATATATTTTCAAAGACATATATATTACTATTTATTTATGCAATGTTTTCGCTTAAAATAATACAAGCCTGACTGAATTACAGACAGCTACGCAGCTGCTAAAAAGAACTAGGCAGATTTCTACGTGCTGATAATAAAAAGCTCTTCGCTGCTTTATTAAGGGAAGCACGGGTACAGAGGCATATGTAGAATATGATTGCTTTTGAAAAGAAAAATGCACATGCATATATTCCTCAAACTTTCTGATGGACACCTGAGGAAAGTCTACTAGCATTTCTCTCTGGAAAAGAGGACAGTAAAATCCCCTCCCCGACTCCTTCGCCCCCGCCTCACTGATAGGGACTGTCTCCTTCAATCCTCTCCAAAGTAAACAGTTAGGGGATGCTTCTTTCTTATTTTGCTTTTTATTGATTTCAGAGAGGAAGGGAGAGGGAGAGAGAGATAGAAACATCAGTGATGAGAGAGAATCATCAACTGGCTGCCTCCTGCAAGCCCCACACTGGGTATCAAGCCTGCAACCCAGGCCTGTGCCCTGACTGGGAATCGAACCGTGACCTCCTGGTTCATAGGTCGACACTCAACCACTGAGCGACACCAGCTGGGTTAGGGGAGACTTGAAGCCGGGTCAGCCATGGAAGTCATTGGCCACCAGTTTGGCCTCCAGCAGGAAGGACAGTGGCCGGAAAGCCCCGAGGGACCAGATCTGAGATGGAGCCCCCCTCCCCCCATCTTCTCCACTCCCAGGGACAAGGGGCCAGTTTGAATGTGTGCCTCACTATTTTCCCAACCAAAGGGTTTCATTTGGCAGTCACTGCCCATACAACACAAACCCTCTTTCCTCAAACATCAGTCCTTTCTTCAAGAAGGAAAATAAGCGAGTCTCCATCGTCACAGCCCACGGCCCAGACAATGGCGAGAGCGTGGCTGCCAGCGCCGGGTGAAGGGGGCCAGTGTGCCGGGAGCCGCCGCCCTCGCGTCTTTATCTGCTGCCCGCACCAGGCTCGTCTCCCTGGGTGTTTTGATGACTCTTCTCCTTCAGCTGCTTTGACCGAATGTGCCGGCTGCCGGCTGATGTGAAACAACCTCCCCTTGTGCCAGGCCGCTCTGTCTTCCCTCCCGGCCGCGGGGAGAGAACGTGTCCTTGTGGCTCCCCCTCAATAGCTCTCTGACTCCAAACCCCCACGGCCTCTGGCGAGAGGAGCCCCAAGACCTGAACAGAGGATGCTGTCTGCTCCTCTTTGCAAAGCCGGCCTCTGGGCCTGCAGAAAGTCGCCCAGGGCCCAGGCCTGGTAGCTGGGGGACAGATTCCTGGGCGAACCGGCAGGTGCCCCAGCCCACGGAGAGTGGCACTGCTCCTGTGTGCGCAGCTCACTCGAGTCCATCTACAAAACGCTTTCAGAACTGCTGGCTCCTTCAGTGAGCCTTTCCAGGGGTCCTACTCTGTGCCAGCGCAGCCCTCACCACTGAGTGTCCCTGTGAGCCCTGAGTAGGCGCCACCATGGCTGTCCTTGTCTCTCCAGCAGGTACCCCAGTTGCCCTGTAGCGGCTGCTGCTGCATAAACACCGGTAGGAACGGCAATCTTACCCAGCCCTGGGGAGAAAATGAAATGGGGGAAACTGACTCGAAGAGGTAGGCGACCTGCACACTACCATGCAGCTAAGACTACAGAGATGGCGCCGGGGGACCAATGCTTCAGACATGCTCAGTGGCCCTGAAAGGCACTTTACCTTCTGCTAAGGAACATAGCCCCAGCATCCGGGATGCAGAGCGCCGTGCCCCCTCTGCCCACGTGTAAGGGAAAAGGGGCAAATAACTAATTCCCTGCCCCCTCCCCTCATACCCCTCCTTTCCAACCCTCATCATCAAAAGCTCCCTTCCAATAAAACATGGACTTTGTCACCAGGCCCACAGGGAGGAAGGTGGCCCTCTGCCCCATAACGTTCTGAACCTCAGCATCGCCAATGCGTTCATCTTGGTCTTGGCTGGACACCGTGAAGTGACCCAGGAAATTCCCAGGCTCCAGTGGCAGGACTGGGGCTCAGACTCGACTCTGGGACCATCAACCAAGGGACCTTCAGCGAGGCGCTTCTCTGTGTCATATTTTTCCTCCAGTAAAATAGAGACGCTGATGATCCCTCACTGGGTGTTGAAGTATTAAATGAAAGTATGAAATAGCTGTGGGAAGACCAAGCAGGTACTCCAGTGACACTGCAGCAGCCGCTGCTGCAATACTGGTAGGAATGGTAGTCTTAGCACAGCCCTGATGAGAAAGCAAAATGTGGACTAAGAGCCATACGGCTCTTCTTACACTCACCCATGTACTCACTGATATTCTATCCTGTGTGGCACTTTCATTTATAATGTCTGATGTGAGTCTGAGAACAGAGCAGATTCTGAGACCTCAGGTCCAAGGTCAAGCCTGAGAGTCTGCATTTGCAATGAGTTCACAAGTGATGCCATGATGTTGACCTGTGGCCTATGCTTTCAGCAGCAAGTCTGGCATTCTAGCCTTCCTGGACCCCTTGCCTCTTCTTCGAGACTCCAACCTGCTCTTATCTATAGTTCTGCCACTCTCTCTCTACCTTCAACACACTTCAATGAAACCATGTTTATTCATCTGAAATGACATAAGTCTGTCTTCCCAGTGGACTGCGAGCTCCTCAAAAGCAAAGACTGTATCATGCATGCTCAGTGCATGTTCGCTGAAGGAATGCATGAATGTTCACTGAGAACATAGCTATAGTCTAGGCATGCAACACTGCATGGACCAGGATGCATGGTGAACCAAATGAACCAACTCCAAGTACTTCTCCTGGGCCCACCATGGTGAACACGAGCTGGGAGCCATGAACATGGCAATAATAGTCTGGCCTCAAAGGGCTTTCCATCTTGGGGTAATGAGACTTAGGACTGGACTTAGGATAAATAAAACTGGGGGAAGGACTGTTCCACGCAGCTTGCATGCTGCTCACTCAGAGAATTTGGAGAAGGGAGACTGAGAGGGAACTGCCTGCTCTTTTGTATATAAAATCAAATGCATGTTTTCACTGGAGCCAACCAGGCACTCCTTGTGTTATAGCCACATTGTGTCTCCCACAATTCATATGTTAAAGTCCTAGCCCTCAAGGACCTCAGCCTGCAACCGTATTTGGAGACAGGGTCTCTTTGGAGGCAATTAAAATGAGGCCAGTAGGGTGGGCCCTAAGTGCAACATGCCTAACATCCTTATAAGAAGAGGAGATTAGGCCCTGGCTGGTGTTGCTCAGTGGATAGCGCATCGGCCTACAGACGGAAGGGTCCCTGCTTCAATTTTGGTCAAAGGCACATGCCCGGATTGTGGGCTCAACCCCCAGTTTGGGTCATGCAGGAGGCAGCCAATCGATGATTCTCTCATCATGGATGTTTCTATCTCTCTCTCCCCTCTACCTTCCTCTCTGAAATCAATAAAAATATTTTTTAAAAAAAGAAGAGGAAGAGATTAGGACACAGATACAGATACACACACACACACACACACACACACACACACACACACTCAGGGAAAACCATATGAGGACACAGGGAGAAGACAGCCATCTATGAGCCAGGGAGAGAAGCCTCAGAAGAGGCCAAACCTGCCAACACCTTGATCTTAGATTCTACATCTGGACTGTGAAGGAGTCAGTATCTGTATCTGTTGTCTCGGCCACCCAGTCTGTGGTCCTTTCCTCCGGCAGCCCCAGCAAAACACATACAGTGTGTCTATTAACTTCCTTGCCACTCAGGGTCTTTACCTTTCCCAGCAGGTGTTTGTTAAGCGCCTCTGGCATGACTGTGCTAGGCACCTCGCCTGCCTGAGTCAGCCCTCTTCACCACCAGGTAGACTAAACAGTCACCTGACTCCCGTTTTGCAGGTAGAAGCCAGTGAGGTTCAGAGATAAAGACCTCCCCTACATCACAAAGAGACAGGAAGGAAGCCGGGTTTGTACGGCCTCCGTCTACCCCAGGACCCTATATGACATTGCCTCTCCAAGTCGGCCCCACAGGTCTGTTAAGAAAATCATTGGGAATAAAACCTTATAATACTAAAAAAAAATTAAAAAGAATAAAAAAGAAAGGAAATCAAAAGACAGTGTATAGATGCCATGGAAAATATTTTTAAACCCAGTGACTAAAACAAGTGTGAATGCTCTTCCTGAACGAAGAGAAAGTGAGAATACACTGGGGCTCCGGCCTCCATGCCCACGTGTCGAACCCTTTCACACTAAACAGCCTACAAGGAGAGCGAATTTTACTCCGGGTCCTAATCTTTCCACTCTACTTGGCTTGGAGAGTGGTTGCTTTCATCAAAATCGAGGGAGAACGTGGTCAATACAATGGGGGATTCATTGGGGAGAAAAAAAGGCAAAAGAAAGCCCTGGGCTCTTCAATGCCAGGAGCTTACAAAGGCCTAGAACCCGTGAGGGAGTGCGAGGCCCGCCTCAGAAGCCGGCCTGCAAATGCGTTTCTGGAACAAAGGGCCAATGTTCCTTTCAGGGCGGAGAGCAGCGCTGGTTTCCGGCATTTTCTTTAAGTCATTCGGGCCATGCCAACAAACAAACATATACTTCTCCCGGGAGAAAGGCCCTCATTCAGCGCGGCTTACAAGAGTTTGATTATTGGGGAGGGGTGCTTCATGGCACGTGCCTCGCCAGCCGGCCCCCAATGTACAGATCTGCTTCAAGGGCTTTATTGATGGCGGCCCCGGACAGATAGGAGCTTGTGGAGAGAACTGACATCCCCTGGATGCTCGCTGACCAGCACCATCCTGACCGACCGCACGCAGTTCCGCCGGGAAGAGCTGAAAAGTTCACTGCATTTGGGGGGAAATTCGCTGCCGGCACATTGAAAAGTGTCACAGTAATAAACTCATGTCTTACCGGCTGGTGATTTCCTTCGCCAGGGTTCTGGAGGATCCGGGGTGACCTAAAATTGAAGGACATGAAAGGAAATGGCGATTAGATCCTGAGCCAGATGTATATTTCGGCTTTTTATGAGCCGGAAAAACGGTAGGATGGGCTCTGAACATACCCAGGTCAGAGTTCAAACTCCAGTGTTGCTGCAGACCAGCTGTCTGGCCTTCGGGAAGCATCTACCCCCCTCTAAGTGTCAGTATCTTTACCTGTAAAGCAAGGATAACAGTACTACCTCCTGGGATCTATGGGAAGATAATGTTGGATTTCACGGAGTGTTCAGACAGTGCCTGGCATAAGGCTAAACCTTGAAATATGTTACTGATTCTTCCTTCCTACCAGGGAGCTGGTTTCAAGTTCACAGTGTGTTTCAAGTAGACCTGAGGTTAACTCTACAGCAGTGTAGTGGGGAAGGGGACGGGTTGTTCTACAGCTAGGAAGAGGTGGTGGATGTTCTACCACCCACACCTCGGCCTCTAAATTCATTCATTTAGCCCTAGCCAGTTTGCCTCAGCGGATAGAGTGTTGCTCTGCAGACTGACGGGTCCCGGGTTCATTTTAGGTCAAGGGCACATGCCTGGGATGTGGGCTCAATCCCCAGGAGGGGGCATGCAGGAGGCAGTGATCAATGATTCTCGTCATTGATGTTTCTATTTCTTTCTCCCTCTCCCTTCCTCTCTGAAACCAATAAAAATATATTTTTAAAAAATAAATTCATTCATTTATATTCAAGCAACATTTTTTGAGCGCCCACTCTGTGCCACCAGCCTCTCAGAGCAGAGAGGGCCACAGAGATGAATGAGAAAGTGACTGGGAGCTCAGACTCAAAAGGAGGTGACCCATGTGTGGAAAATACCTCACAGCAGACAGAAGAAAGCGGAGTTACAATGGAGGAATACACACCATGCCAAGAAAACTCTGACTGACCCCACCTGCAGCCACACGCCCATCTACCATCGTGGTCTGGAAGCTCCGTGAAGATTGAGAGTTTGTTTTCTGCTTTGTATGCTAGCACTTACAAAATGGCTTGGAACATTCTGACTAGGAGACAATGTGGCATGTTGCAATGATGGGATAGGAGGTGCAAGGGGTACTTTGGTGGGGAGACCAGATGCAGAAGGCCATCGGGCACCTTCGGGAACCGCAGAGGTGATGCTCAGACAAGGCCTGGGCAGCAGGAGCAACTCTGGGCTCCCCTCTGCAGAGATGGGAACTGAAGTCAAGAGGGGCCGGTATCCAGGCAGAAAAGGAGCTACAGAGAGCCAGCACCGGAGCCAAGGAGAACCCAGCTTCCAGGAGGAGTTGGCAGAGACCTCTTAGAGCAGAGTCCGGGGTGTGAAGGAGGAGGGCAAGGCTGTCAACTGCTGGTTAAGAAACGCCCGGGGGAGAGGCAGGCCTGGGGGGAGGGCCACGCTCCCCCGGCTCCCCGGCCCTGGTGGAAAATGTTATCTTCACACAGCCACACACTCCCACGGACCCTCCTCCCAGCCCAGCCCTCCCTCAGCTATTCGTGTTGACGCTGTGGTTTTCCTTTCTGACCCTTCTTCTTCAAACTTTGGGAGGAAAGGGGAAGAAAGCCAGGATGTCGCAGAGGGACGGGGTTGGCAGAGGGTGAGGACCTTGACCCTCGGTGGTCTCAGGCGAGGCAACATGAGGCCATCGGAAAGCCAGAGACTGTTCAGCTTCCCACCTCCTGCTGACCACAGCCATTCTGTAATTCCTACGGCTCCCTTTCCGCATCCATCACAGGACGCACACACAGTTCACAGTATTCCCTACACCATGCGATCAAATCATGAATACGAAAAGCCCTCACACCTTGTCTGGGACCTAATAGGTATCCAGTAAACAGCAGCTTTCTTTCCTTTGGGCAAATCTTGTAACTGCTGTGGGTCTTCATTCTTTTTAGAAAAAGTTGGAGAGAATTAAACTAAGCCCTACTTGTCTCACATGGTTTCAATGACGATTCAGATCAAAGCTCCTGGGTGTTATGTAATGTAGGCGTCTCTAATCCCTGAAATGCTTTTTTTCCTGGCTGGTTCCCTTGTAGGAGCTGGGAATAAGCAAAAATGTGTGAATGAATGGATAGAGGAGGGATGAATGGATGGATAGAGGGGTCTGAGCTAATTCCTACAGAATCTTCCAAATTCAAGCCACTTCAACTTCTGAGTGGTCTCCTGAGAAATGGGGGAGGGGTCCCAGAATTCATCACAAGGGTCTGAGGACTCTGAAGAGACTTTCTCCTTATTTTGTAGACCTGCAGCCTTAACATCCTCCATCTAGTCTTGTTTAGAAATGGCTGTGCGGCCTGAGAAACTTGGGTTCAACTTGCCATGGAGACTTTTGTTAATGGAGTTGTATAAACATAGCTCTTTATTAATCTAAATTACTGGCCTTCAGGCTGAGTTTATTTTATTTGCACACACCATCCCCTGTCCCTGGGAACCCCGAAGGACAAGTGTGTTCCAGGGAGAAGAAGCCTTTTGAGAACCACTTAGGAACGACCCCCGGGAGGTGCTACATAAACAAAACATAATGAATTGCTCCCCCTGTCAAAAAGGAACAATTCATAACGTGCCCCTGAATGGAACCAACTGGTCCTCTTGTCAAACACTCTGCACTTTGATGTCCACTTCACTGGTTAGAGAGGAAAAAAGAAGAAGAAAATTACAGTCTTTTTAAATGATTTCTTTTTCTCAAAGTAAAAAGATATGTCTTTTTTTCAGAGTAAAGAAAGAAGATTTATTCTTGGGAGCTGATAATTTATTCTAGTACCCTTCCTGGTGAACTGCTGAGGAGGTGGTTTGGATATCCAAATTAGGCTTCTTGACTAAGAAAAGCTTGGCTAATGCAATTAAAGTATGTTTTACTAGCGTTGGTAAAACAGTAATGTTCCTAAGTGGCCAGTGGGTTCAGTAGAAATAATAACAAGAGGAATTATAACATCTATATCTCTTACTAGTTGCCAATTGAGCATCTAAAGCAGCGGTTCTCAACCTGTGGGTCGCGACCCCTTCGGCGGTCAAACGACCCTTTCACAGGGGTCGGCTAAGACCATCCTGCATATCAGATATTTACATTACGATTCATAACAGTAGCAACATTACAGTTATGAAGTAGCAACGAAAATAATTTTATGGTTGGGTCACAACATGAGGAACTGTATTTAAAGGGTCAGAAGGTTGAAAACCACTGATCTAAAGGTTCTTTCTAGGACTAGATGCAAAGACCTGGTAAACAAAATGGAAAGGTAAGGATGACCTTGAGGTTTCAGTACAGATGGCCAGGCGGATGGACACACCATTCACTGTGGAAATACAGGAGCAGCTGGCAGTTTTCCAGAGAAGATAATGGACACAGTTTGGGACGTGTTGATTTCGCAGTCTTTGTGCACATGTCCAGGAGGGACATCTAGAAGTCAGCAGAATCAGCATATAAAACCCAGCATGGAGTTTGAGAATGAGAGTTGGCAATAATCCGCAGCAGCCTTAGTTTAAGCCATCGCTTTGCTTAACGGAGGAAGAGTTTATGAGTTGAAGACGGGTAGGTGAGGGGGAGGGAGGAGAGGCCCGGAACTGATGGTAGATCTCTGAGGTACAACGGGAAGGGGGAAAGAAGCCCACAAGGAAATGGAAAGGAAGAACCAGGGAGGAGGAAGGAAACAAGTGGGAGAGGAGTAATGTCCAAAACTAGGGGAGTGCCCACTAGCAGGATGATCAGAATTAAACTCAGGATACAAACATGCAAGGAGAGAAATTTCGGCAATCCCAGGAAAGCCTGCTTTTGCAAGGGCCCGTGTGGGAGGATGGAGCACTACATAACTCACTGTGTAATCGGATGGCCATGGACCTAAAGAGAGAAAGATCAACCATAGCAAGATGAGGCTGGAAGGTGGGCAAGGCTAGACCATGCAGAGCTTGTGGGCGTGATGAGGATCTGGACTTCATGCTGAAGGCGGAAAAGAGCCATTAGGAGTTTCAAACATGAAGATGATCCTATATAATAAAGAGCTAATATGCTAATTAGACTGGACGGCAGGACGACCTTCCAGAACGACCAGTGGGCGGGGCTGAGGAGCCGCGAGGCAGCCGGGGCCACAAGAGCTGAGACAGCCAGGGCTGTAAGGGCCGAGCCCCTTGCACGAATTTGGTGCATTGGCCTCTAGTAGGATCATAATGAGCTTGAACAGGCTGCAGGGTGAAGATTCCTAGAAGGTCAAGAGGATACAGGAAAAACAGGAAACTCTTACATAAATGTCAGAGCAAAAGAAGTGGGCCGTGGTCCAGCATGTGAGCACCAGAGTCTGGCCGCCTGCATTTGACTTCCTAGCTCTGTCACTTACAAGTTGTGGGCAAAATCTTTAATTTTTTGGTGCCTCGGTTTGTATATCTGAAAATAGGTTTGCAAGTGCTTCCCGCCTCCAAAGATGTTATTGGGGTTAAAATGTGATCATAGGAACAAAGCGCCCCCCAAACAGTGCCTGGTAAATCGTAAGCACTCAAAACATCTCACACTCTGGCAGCAGAGACATCACAGCGGTCAGAGCTGTGGCAGAGAACAGAGAGACGTGGACGAGTTCCGGGGTCTTCCTTCAGTTAGCAAGTCATAGGACGTGCATGAGCTGAATTCATGAAATGTGTCTTCCTTGTAGGAAAGTGGTAGAAAATAAAGGTTGAAATAGTAGCTTGTAAAAGTATAGTATTTGGTGAGCAGAGTCGTCTTTGAGAAATTGGAGCAAATTCAGATTTTGTATCATGAACGTGGAAGGAGGGGCGCAGATGCATCAACAGGCATCGGCAAGCCTTGCCTTTCTCAGCGTGGATGTGAGAAGCAGATGTAACCTCATCGGCAAGCAGGCACGTTATGTGTGAAGCATTACCGATTGTTATGCTTGGCTTTCCGGAGAGATTTCCCATAACAACTGCTAGAGATGCCAGTGATGAAACAGAAAAGCTTGCAAAGGCCCCCTAATATCTCATTCTTCTCTCTACACTGAGGGCCAAGAATCTGGGC